TGGTGCTGGTGCCCAGATAGGCAGCAGGTCAAGATCTGGAGCAGGTCAAGATCTGGAGCAGCTGCTGCTGCTGCTGGTGGATCTGGAGTGGGGTCACAATGCACCTCCATGCCCGGGATTCCCCCTTCTGCCACCACTTCTGGTTCCGCCACCGTTGCAGCACACCGCCCCGTTTTTTCCCCCCCAGTTTGGGCACAGAAGCCCAAAAAGGTTTGCCACCACTGGCTTATACTATGAACAGGATTTCAGCCATTTTGTGTCCCATCTTTAAACTGTTACATATTATAAAATGTAAAATAGTTTATCAGTGCCAACTGTCTTCACTTGGCAATATTTATGCTGCCACATTTAACTTAGGATTCGATTGATTTAAGCTTGGAGATTGTTCCCTCTATGAACCATCACACTCAAATGTACCACACCTGTCAAAAGTGGATCCCTTACCCCATCCTCTCTCCTTCAGGGTTTCAGAAGAGTCTATAAAATTGTCATGAGTCAATTTAGATAAGTGAATTATATTCCTGAAATGTTCATAAGCAGTTATATGAAGGTATCATTACAGAATGAATATCTTGCTGAGTAATATACTTCTTTCCCCTAAGCAATAGTGATAATAGAATTTTCATTATTGCAGATTTTTTTGTTTTCAAAGTGTGTTTGCTGCTGAATATGTTCAGTTTCAGAACTTTTTTCCAGATGCACTTTGTGATTAAAGGCTGCCTACTTTTTAATTATTGCATAACAAGGTTAACAAAAAATACTCAGCTATTATATTGATGTTTGCCCATATAGTTTTGTTTTGGCAATTGTCATTTTCAACTTTATTTTCAGATGTTTATTGTTAATCATAGTAATATACCCTCCTCTGGCCATTAAGCTAAATGAAATGGACCTTGTGTGGTCTGAAGGACAAGTTTATTTGTATCAGGCTTTTAAAATGGATTGCATTTTTAAAAAATGGGTCCTTATATATTTAAGAATGAAACACTTTCACAATAATGAAGTGAACACTTAATTTTTTTTCCAGCAAGTTACTTATGTGAGTGAACTCGGGCACATACAGATATGCATTATACATGCAGTTGTAATGTATTTTCTTCATGTCATATTCATGGGGATGTGTTGTAGCTATAATTTATTCTGTTTTAAACTCTCCTTAAAGGTTTCCTGCATTGCACATGCCCCCACTTACAGTGTCAGTAAAATTATTAAGCTTAGTTCCTCCTACACTGTCATTGTAAATCAAATGTTTAGGCATTCCATTCAGCTTTTGTATACATTTCCTTGTATACATTTAGTGTATGCATCAGAATATCCCCAATCCTGTCTTGTTGTTGTATAATTACTGTAAATGTCTTGAAACCTGAAAAAAGTGTAAATTCTATTTTGTCTGTATTTTTAAAAATAAATTGTAACTTTTGTTATCAAATGTCATCCTTAAAATTTTGTAAAATATATTCGTTCATCTGAACTTTATATATATTTATATACTCTTGATCTGTGTTACCTACTGTGTTTATGTTTATCACAGTAGTGTGATAAGGTGAATTATCATTAATACTTTAGAGAGGGCTTCATTATGCCATTTTGCAGTTCAGGTTTCAGCCTTTGTGTATCTTTTTACTGTCTTACAGGTTTTTCACTCAGTTCAGGTGTGTATGTGTGTGTATACATATACAGAGACATATTTATTGAAATCTAACTTGGGTTTGTGCTTTGAAAAATACCACTATGATGTTGAAATTTATCACCATATTCATACCACAGCAATGCATGCTTTGATTGCCTCATGTTATAGACTGTGTTACAGTAGTCTCATACAGGTACCTGAAGAAGTGTCCAGAAACCACAGGATAACATGCAGCACCTGAACTGTTGTCAGAAACCGTATATAAAACCAAGGTGCTAGGTTGTTGTTTTAATTTTAAAAGTTTAAAAAGACATTTTTTTTCAAGCTTGCCTGGAATGTGATCTTCATTAGAAGTTGTGCTCCACCAGCAAGAAAAAGCTAGAGTGGTTGGTTTGGTACATGAGGTGGAGCCTTTTCTATAGCAGCATCCGATTGTGAAATTGTATCCCTAGTGAGGCCAGGTTGGTTTCATTCCATTTGAGTTTTAGACACTGAAAAGTATTGTTTCTCTGGGCCTTTGATAGATTTTAATATTATTTTGCCTTGTTTTAGTGAGTTTTTTTCCTTTGTGATTTTACTCCATTCATTGTTGAAATACAGTAAAGCAGTTTATAAAATACCTTTAAATAAATATTGCAATATATTTGGTAAAAAACGAAATGGGGTTTATTATACCTTGCATCAATACGGTGACCAAGCTATCACCTACTTCCCATATCCATTGTGTCGGCATTGGCCCTTCAAACGTTTGCGAACATTAGTCGCCTGGACCCCCAGTTCTTGGGAGAAAGACGAGAGAGAAGCCGGATAAACACGATCCCTGCAACATTTGCCCCTTCGCATCTTGGGAACCTCCTTTCAAGTGAGGTGGAAAACCTGTGACTCCCATCCTGCGATCTTTGGTCACGCTCCCTGCCAACTATGGGAGTTGGAAACCCAACAATGTTCTTAGGACCACAGAATTCGCCCCTCCTGGGCTAAGTTGACGCGTTTGTGATTCGAACAGTTATCCTTCCCCCCCCCCCAAAAATTCATTCGGCGCAGGCGCAAAGCTCCAAATCCCTCTCCCCCGCCCCTTTTAGTTTGCTGTTTCGCTTATTTTGGAAAAGCAGTTCGAGCCGAAGAGGAGGAGTTTTGAGGTGTCGACTGCGGCTGCGCAGTCGTCGTCCCCCAGGAAAGAGAATGGGCCGGCTCCGCCCCTTTAGGAAAGATGGCGGAGTATGTGGAGGTGTGGAAGAGGGCGATACAGGCGCTCAGGGGCCATGGCGGGCTTCTCGGGGCCATGTTCCAGACGTTAAGGTAAAACGACGCGGGCCGCTCTCGGTCCATTTGCGCCGGCTGTCCTAAAAAGCTGTTGGCGGGGAGGGCCGGGAGTCACCTTGCCGGCGGGGCGGGAGGGGACATGAAAGGACGCCTCGGCGCTCTTGAGGCGAAGAGAGCGCAGGCGAGGGGCAGCGGCGCCTTCTTCGTTCAAGGGAGCGTTTAAAAAGATGCCGTTCTCTCCCGGGGGAAGAAATAAGGGAAGGGGCTGCTTAATTTCGAGGCCGGCGGGCATTTCCCATTCCTGCCCGGTCACGGCGAGAGCAGGCTCCGGCTGCTGGGACGAGGAGCAGGTCGTTCTCGGGACCCGGCCTGCCAGGCTGGCTTGGCTCATCCTTCTCTATCTCGGCGAGGTGGAAGGTTTGATCGCCTGGAGAGAGAAAAGGACAAGGAAGAGCCCCGTGGCATTTAGGCAGGGGACGTCTGAAGAAGTGGGCTACTGTTAAGAAAGTTTTATGTCGAATAAAACTTGAGGTGTCACTCTTGTGCTCCCTTTCTCTGGAAGAGTTGTTTGTACTCCAGGAAAGCTCACCCTGGAGCAAGTTTGAAAGGGGCCACAAGACTTCAGTTTTGTTGTATCCAAGATTCTTCATTGGTTTTGCTGCACCCGCCCTGTGTCTTTTGGCTTGAAGTAGTGATAGATCCGGGTGGAGAGTTTGAATTAGAGACAAGTCAGTGTGTAGGAGTTAAGAGCATCAGACTCACTAGACCCAGCAGGATTTGATGGTTACCATTCAGCTGTGAACCTTGACAGCTGATTTTGAAGCAGTCCTTCTTGTCTCTCTGTCTACCTTTCCTTACAGAGGGGATGTGAAAATAAAAATAAAAGGAATAAGAAAGAATATTTGTGTTTGATAGTTCTTTTACTGAAAGGTGGGACAAAAAGAGTTGAAGCAATAACAGCAAACCATGTTTTTGTTTCATGGGCTGTTGCAGTTGGACAATGAGGCTGCACATAACTTTGTTATGTGATTAAGGATTATTTGATGTGTACTGCAACTCAGGCTACTCTTTAATATACAAAATATTATAAATAAGGGTAAACAAGTGTTGCAGAACTCATTGAAGCTTTTTCTGATGAAACCCCTTTGGAAGTGTGAAAATGTACTGGTCCCATGTTTAAATGTATTCAGTTGTACAACCAAATAAATGTATAACATACACCATAACAATATACTGAATGAAATATAATGGACAAAAGTTCAAAAGTAAAAATTATCTTAAAACAATGAGAACCAGCACATCCACTTGGATCTTATAACTGGAGGCTCTTACAGTGGTGCCTCGACTTACGAAATTAATCTGTATTGGAACGGTGGCCGTAACTTGAAATTTTCATAAGTCAAAGCACCATTTCCCATTGAAATGCATTGGAATGGGATTAATCCGTTCCAGCATT